CCTCTTAGAATTTCTATTCTCTAACCAGGGAATAAAATCATTTTGGAGAGTGCCATATGAGATCATGTTAAAGGAAGAGTTTGGTTGTGTCATGAGGCAGTGATGGGGTGCAAGTTGATGGGATAGGACATGGTAGCCATTGGAGGAGGTGCTGTGTATGCAATACTGTCTCTGGGGGTGCTCTGGGAGAAAGGGACTTCAAGCAAGAGGAAACCAGGGCATGACACTGAGGCATGACAATGTGTAGAATAGAAAACACCTGGGGTAGCCAGTGCCTGGTGAACCAGATGGTAAGTGAACATTGTAGAAGAAGAAAGAAATGAATCAATTGGGGAAACAGGACATTGAGTAATGAAGTCATCACAGGGCCCAAGAGGTGGGGACAGAGGCTTAACCTGGAATGGTGGCTATGGAGGTGGTGGGAGATGGGACTCTAAGGAACAGAACAAAGACTTCTGATCCATTGTCTATGAGAAGTGAGAGGTGGGGAGACGCAAAGGTGACTGTGGCTTGAGTAATTGGGTAATTGGAGGTGGTGGCTGATATAGGGAAGCTAGAGAAAGGAATTGGTTTTGTGGGGAAAATCAACAATATTCTCTGGGTGCATTTAGTGTGGGTTGCTAACTGAAGAACCTTGTAGAGAGGAAACAGGCTTGGTAAAGCCTTCGGGTGTGAGTGGCAAATCCTCTCCTGGGACCGGGTGCTTGGCGCTGGTGTGGGAGAGTGTGGTTAGGGATGGGTGCACTTGCTGGAGCTGGGAAATGGCTGCAGGAAGGACAGGACTGGTGAGGCGACCTCTCGTCTGTGGGATTCCCAGGTGAGGAAGGGTGGAGGGCATCTACTCTCTCCACCTGACACCTGCACCTTATATTTCCTTCTGTGTCATAACCCATCTCTCATGATTCCATTTCAGGGGAGGCCACCCCAGTACAGACAGGGGAACTTGGTTACACAGCAATATAGCCCGCATATAGGGAGCCCTTGGCTCGGGTTCATCTCAGCACTAAGGACTTCCAATCCCACTTAAGCCACACTGATACTTTATCTCATTTAATAGGTCTGGCTCTCTTACTTCTATACAAGTGTAATTGTATTTAGAGAAGCTCCAAATGACATTGAATCAGTGACCTCCAGAGACAACTCTGGTTAGCAGGCAGGGCTGCCATGTTCTTTCTGGAAGTAGAAGTGTTCTCAGCTATAAAGGCCCTTTTGTTTTGGGTCCTTAAGAAGGGGTTCTTCTGGATGGTTGTCAGCTCACTTTACACATAGGATACAGAGTCCCAGGAGGGCAAAGAGGTTCTCTACAGTGACATACCCCAAATGGAACAGGCAGGGGCTCCCCTGGTCTCTCTCTGTCTGAAGCTCCTGTTCTTTGTCACTAATTCCACAGAGGGTTAGGTATTGGAGCTTTCTGACCAGAAGCCAAGCCTGTGCAGTCATTGGAGACACATCAGTGTTTCAGAAGAAAGAAAAGAAATGTGCCTACATGGAAACCCTCTTATCTGACACATTTGAAAGCAATCGGCCATTTGTGGCTAAGCTAAAGCAGAACGTCATTGAAAGAAAATACATATAACTTAATTGTATGTTTCATATGAAGTCTTCAAAAGGACGGATTTACTGAGAATTTTTCTTTGAGAATAAACCTCTGATGGGCATTTGATATTGTTTATTCTTTAGTATTTCTTTTTAATGCAATACACCTTTCTCTAGTCTCTCCAGAGCATTCTATTTAGCTTTCCTGGAAACAAGAAGTCTTTCTGTGTGTGCTCATGGTTAATCCTTTTATTTAATATTTACTTAAATGATGTAATTGCAGTCATGAATATCATAGGTATAAGCAGATTTGGGAGCAAATACAACCCACCCACGCAAAGCATGTGATCCATCAGAAGAGCGAGGGCATCAGACCCATCACCTAGGTACCAGCTGCCTGTCCCAGAGGACCTAGGACATACCCCAGTAGATTCTGCAGAGAGTGGGGTGGACCGGTTAACCTGGCAAGTACCTTAAGTGGGAGGCAGTTCACAGAGCTCTAACTGAGCGAAACACTCATATAGGCCATACATGAACAGAACCAACGCTAGAGGTGAATGGAAACACTTGTGCAAAAATGATTAGCTTTTCTGATTTTTTTCCCCTTCTGGCTTAACCTTTTCTAAAGACTGGTTCTAATTTGAGTGGGTTCAGTAGGATTTTAAAAACAACAATTTTGACTTTGTATTCAGTGCAATAAAAACAAGATGAGTAGCTGGGTTGGGTTCAGAGTTCAGCCAATTAGTGTGTCCATCTTGGTTTGTGAGTCATATTCTGCTGGTCCGCGTTGTGCAGTGAGGAACAAGTCAAAACCAGTGCTGTTTTTGTTGTTGTTTTCTCTAGCTAGGATGGGAGTCTTAAAAAAGCTTCCTGCCTCTTTTTTCCCAAGGCTTCCTTGTTCTAAGTGATCCTGAAGTGACACTAACTGGGGGCCAAAGGTCACCAACAGGGAGAAAGTGAGGCAAACCCTGCAGGCTCTTGATTTTGATGATGAAGATGTGCTCTCTCCCAGACCCCCTTGAATGTGCTGATGTTGGCGAACACTTTAAGCTCACTGGGAGTTGGTTACCGTGGCAACAGAAGGCATCAGTATTTCTGGTGGAAGTCTCCCAATAGTCCCTCAAAGTCTGAGAGGAGCCTTGGGTGGCTGGCAATGGGCGGTCCCTTCCTGCCCTTTCTCTCCAATCTTTGGACACAAACTCCACCATGTGGAAAGGACAATCAGGGCCAAGCAGGACACCATATGGTTTACTTAGATTCTTCCTGTCGCTCTTTCCTTTAGAAATTTGTCCCACCCCCCCCCACACACATTTTCTTGTCTTCTTGTGCTGTTTTCAAGATGCCAAAACCCCCCTTTTGGCATGAACCATGTGGTACTGGGAGAAAGTTAAAGACTGTGTAGGAACTCATCCTTAATATAGATGCAGCTGCAGATGGATTTATCTCTTTGTCTACATAGTGCCTACATCCTCCATTTACATACACGCATACATGAGGTTAGTGTTTCCTAGCTCTGGTGGGTTAGAATCAATGATATCCTAGTAGCAACACACACCAGTGTCAAGATCTTGGTTTCTAGCATTGTTCTCTCATAAAAGGAACCGTGGTTCCTTGGAGAAATGGCAGATTCTAAGGTCAGGCAAAGAAATTTTCAAAATCAGCCTGGAACAACTCAGAGTGACTGAAATTAAAAATTACTGAACAAGCAAAGTGAGGGAATAGGTCAAAAGGACTTAGGTGCTGACTAAGAGAACTCCCAGGAGACAGAGCTGGAAGACCTTGAGCATCAAATGAAGAGTGTAATATTGGATTAGAACCCAAAATACAAAATAAATATCCCTAAGGGTATACTAATACCATAAATTAGGGAATAATAAATTGATGGTAGAGAAAAGATCTCTGTGCAGAGAATCTCATTAATAATATAATAATAAAAATATGTGCAGAGAATCTCAATCCTATTTTAGCAGACCCCCTGAGTGCGGTCACTGCATAGTGACTTTTAACAAGTCCCTACAGAAAGAGTAACTGCAAGTTACAGAGAGTGGTGCTGACTACCCCTTGCTCTGCCCCTCAGTGGCATCATGTGCACTGGTCATCCAGGGTTCCTGTTCTTCCCTACATCTTCCCATGCTGTCCTGACTGGTCTCTGTGATGTCTCAAACAATGGTTGTTTTTAATAGGTCTCTTTTCAGTCCCTTTTTTCCCCCATACTTACTATGAACTCAGATCCCAAGAACTGTTTTTTTTCTTTGTGTGTGTGTGTGTCTGTCTTTAAAAGACCAACTTTAGTAGCATGTAAGTAAACATGAGTAAGCTTTGTTACCAAACTTCATTCTAGAAAACCATCTTTATGTGTCAAGGTTCATCAGGACAACAATGACTTGATTGTTGACATAGTTCTGGAGTTGACTGTCACCGTTTTTTAGCTGCTGAGATGATACAGAATGATACGTGTGCTTATGCAGAGGCTTTGGTCATTTGCTCAACGTTGATTACACAAAGTGATTTCGCCAAGCCAGATCAGATCCTAGTCCTCACTCAAATATCTCCTGAGTATTTGGCTGCGTTGCCCAAAGGGTCCCTCCTCGACAGTCAATGCCACTAGGAAGGTGATTCAAACTACAGCAGCCTTATCACCTCCCAAGCCCTCGCCTCCCCTTCACCACATCTATGCCCAGGAGAATGCAGTACGTCCTGCTGCCTCACACTTTTAAACCTCTGCTGCGTCCCTCTTTCTTTGTTCCACTGGAGAACTTCCATGCATTCTGCAAAACCTGCCACAAATGCCTCTCTGTGAAGTGTTCTCCAGTTCCCCCAGGACAGATCTGTCCTTCCAACTCACAGAAAAAGCGTGCATGTCCTACTTAATGCACATCCAGCATCCTGTTGACTCTTGGAGGCATCTGTCTACGTTACTGACCTGGCAATGAACTCTCCTTCTCAGTGTCCTCAGCTGATAAATTGGCTTTGGGAGGATTAAATATGAAAGCGTACTACTTTGTAATGCCAGGAACAAATAATCACCCGGTGAATGACGACTCTAGTTATTGGACCAAAGTGTCTTATTCTATTCACAGACTCCTCTACATCCAGCAGCACGTGGTGATGAAATAAACATCCTGGCACAGAAAACTTATTGGGACCATTTCACTTGACCTTGACCCCAATGGCACTGTGCTCAGCCTAATTGTACTTGAAGATCAGAAGAAAGCCTCAAGTGGGTCCAATGCAAGAAAAACGATTACACCTGGTAGCAGAATAGTGAATTTTACCTCTAGTGACATTTTCCACAGGCAAATCTATTGTTTCCATCTGTTTACCCTGATTCCTGCCCTCAGTGATTACTGGTAAATGTAGCTGCATTTCCAGTATATGTCTGAATGCCATAAGTTATCTATTTCCAGGACAAGAGCCAAAACGAATCAATCCAGTCTTTGGAAAAGCAGCTGATGGAGGCATAATCCACAACTTTAATTAATGAGGCTTTGAAATTGAACACACAGAAGAGAAGTTCATTAATTGGTTAATTTTGTCTTGCCTGTACCTTAACCATTCACTCTTTCCCCAAGCATATACAATTGTGGGCAAAACATGTTCTTCTACATGTCTCATACATGCATAGTTTCTTCATCAGCTGCTGATTTCATGTGTGCTAAGAAAGCATCCAGTTACCACACTGAGGAAAGTTTAAGCTGCTCAGGTACTTGCTAAGCTGGTGCCCGGGGGTGGGGGGTCTGTCCAACCCTAGAGGCTGATGCTCTTAAACAGCTCAGCCTTGCTGCATTATTCAGGTTGCCAAGAAAATGAACTAGGACTCTTGAGGGTTTCTGTGTGGGAGTTGCCTTTGAAAATCTGGCTTAGAAGGCACTCGATGTTCCCACTGCTCTGGCCTCACTCAGCGCAAGAGGGCCACCAGCAGTTTCTGGAAGTCCCCAGACGTGTCCGAGCGAACCATGTCATTGAGAGACTTCTGATACTTCTCTTGGAACTTTGCTTTTATCCTCTGAAGATCCACCTGTAGGAGAGATGAAAGCAGCAAGAAGACAAGGATGTTGATAGCTCATTTACCCTAAACATAGTGGGTCCTGTTCTAAGCACGTAATTCTTACTTGCTCATTTATGTCTCCAACAACCCTTGGAGGTGGGGGCTATTTCTATTGTATGGAAGAGAAAAGCAATCAGTGTTCAGCTCCCAAAGACTGCACTATCGACAGATTACCCGGGATACATTTATTTATAGATACTAACACTTGAATGTCATATGATTTTTTAAAAAGATTTATTTATTGATGCATACAGAACTGGGGTAAAGGCCAGAGGTGCAGAGGTGGTGAGAGGCTTCACCAGAGACAGAGAGGGGAGCAGAACAGGCAGATAGACAAAGTACACTGCTGAGGGGAGCAGCGGGCGGGCCAGGAGAGGTCTGCCGCGCCATGTGGTCACCTCCGGGGCAGGCGGGGATCGAACTCATGCTGCAGTGGCTTTAGCTTCCTAGTGCTGTGCTTTAACTTGCTGCGCCACTAGGGAGGGCCTCATATGATTTTTATGTGTTATAAAATTTTTCTTTTTACTTAAAACAGAGAAGCTTATTTAAAATAAATCATTTCTAGATAGCAGGACTGTTCAGAAACAGGTGATGGGTCCAGGATGGCCTGTAGACCATGACTTGCTGATACAGGTATTGGATTAAGAAATCTGTCTCTTTCTCCAGAGATAAGAAATGAAGTCTTTTTTTCCTCTTGTATCCCGCACAGCATCAAGATATGAGTACCAGCCAACAAAATTTATATCATTATTGTTTTGAAGATTTATCTTGAATGCAACTTATTGAAAACTTGAAAAACCTAGCTGTGGTATGTAGGGGCAAGGTCTCAGGTGATAAACAGATAAAAGGTCTCTGTGCCAGGAAAGATAAATCCCCTGGTAGAATATACTGAGTGTCATAAAGGAAGCACCAGGATGGTATTTCTGGTATTGTTTTATTCTTGTTTTTTGATCTAGACTCTATTTTGCATTTTAGACCCACACATCATCACTCAGGTATCATGTTCTTTTTCTCTTCATCAGTTAAAGAGCAGAGTAGAATAAAGACAAGAGCAAGAGAAGGTGGGGGGGTGTGTCTTTTCCCAAGAGGCTGCTGAGCAGGGGAGACACTCAGGTATGCAGGTGTGTGCAGGTGTGTGTCCTGGTCCCCTGAGTTGTAGTCTGCATGGCTGGGGGGAGGGAGAGAAGGATGGTGGAGTAGTTAGTGCAGGGACAGAGATGGGGCTCTGATCCAGAACCACATGATTTGGGGGTTAAGGGGGCCATTCAACTACATCTCACTTGGACTGGAACTTTTTGAGAATGTGGTCCATGAGTGGAGATGTCCCTAGACACATGGCCATGCTGAAAGGGGCTGGAGCATCTTGGAATGAGCATTCCATGGCCATGTTGGCATGAACACGGAACCCCGACCCACTGGGGGGCACTTAGAATCGTTGCCCTACTACTTGCTCCTTTGGGCCTCTCAAGAACCGCCCCCCCCACGACTTAGAGTTGCTAAAAGACAAAAAAGTCAGAGACCTGGAGACTTAAGGAAAGAATGATTTGGACAATGGAGGAGAGAATGGAGAGAACTGTAGGAAAGGGAGAGAGACTCTGGGAAGAGAAAGAGAGAGAGAACTGGACCTTAAAAGAATGAAAATGTGAATAATGGAGGAGAGAGGGGGAGGAGAAATTCCAGGAATAAAAATAAAAATGAAAGAATGGTCTTGTTGCTAAGTTATATTTAAAAACAGTGTCAGATGTTAAGTATTATTTGTCAAAAGGTTGTGGTCCAGAACTTGGATTGGTATCTTTCCCCCTTCATTAAACAATTTTTTGAGGGGCGAGGTCTGTGGTTTTCAAGTGCTCAGTTCCACTTCATTCCCCAAGATTTCTCCTACTTCTCCTGCTGCCGACAAAATGCCATTTCCCCTTTATTTGGCAATTCCTTCTGTCCATGGGCCTATATTCAGAATTATTTGCTGTGAATCTTGACAGTGGCGCCCAAGCTTTTGGCTACTCATCTCTCTGTCCCTTTCTTAGACTCCTGCCTTCTCAAAATGGGGGTGGGAGGAGGCTGATATCACTCCTGACAGGGCAAAACTGGCTCTCAGAGGGTAGGAAAGATAATCTTATGTTCACATATAGAACACATAGAACATAAGCAGGCATACTGTATAGATAGTATATCATAGATATTGCACAATGTAATGTATATAAACTATCATGCCATATATAGTATATACTGTAATTTTATGTAATGTATATGTAGTATGTACACTATCTATTCTATGACAGTTCTTGGAAGTGGGTGGTGACTAGAAAAAAGTTGAATCTACAAAGACTGCACGGAGGTGATGGATCATTTAAAAAAGGTTAAGAAACATCTTAACTGATGTGCAAACACATGCCCCCAGAGGGCTGATTAAATGCTTCGCTCCGGAAGCAGGAAATCATTTGCTCATGGTCTCTGCTGCTGGGTAGGTGACCTCATCTGTTGCGAACCTTTCACTGCCTCTGTTTTGTGCTCCTGAAAACAGAGCCGGAGCGTGGCTCTGTGCAGAGGCTCCAGGGGTCCCCTCTGAGCTCCACGGAGCCACCACAGACAAAAATAGAAGCACCAATCATGACTGTATTTTTATAAAAAGAAACAGACTGAAGCATAGCACAATGTCTTCCACAGTCTAGAAGGCCAAGGCTGTCGCTGCTGTGCTTTTTCATAAACAGGCCCTGGACGGAAGCCCTATGCTGATGGTGTCAGTGAGGGCAGAAGGAGTGGAGCCCACCCTCCCCTCCCCCCGCTCCGTGGAGTCCAGAGCATCTTACCTCCTTGCGGGTCACAATGATGTGGATTAATGTCTCCTCATCGGTCCCCGCACCCTTCATGGACTTGTAGAGACGGTCAGCAAAATAGCCCTCGCGGTCCTGGGCACACCTCACTGGGAGGGAGGAGGGAAGGATGACTGTGAGTGTGAGCCGGTCATAGTTTGTCCAGTAACATGGAGGCCACGCAAGGGACAGGCCAGAGTGGCACCTGCCTGCCCGGGAGCTAACCCACCCACAGGCAGGTGGGTGCTTCCTGTTATTATCTGGTGGACTCTGGAAGAACCGCTGGGCAGGGCCTCTGGGCTCTCCAAACAGGACTGGGTCAGAACCACTTCAGGCAAACAAGAACCTTTTCTGTTCCCTGAAGGTCCCCTGACCCGAAGCAGACTGGCTGGTGACCTGGCTGTGTAAAGCTTCATCATCTGGGGGATTCACTCGGTCACACAGGCCTGCTTTGCTTGCCAAACACCTCCCTCGCTTTGTCTGTCCCTGCTGGCTTTGTTGGAGAGCTTCATCTCTGCATCCTTCCTGGGTTCCCTGGGGTCTTTGTGGTTGGTGGGGTGGTGGGCTTCCTGAAATGCACCTGCCTCATCTTCCCACAAGGCTGCTAGCTGCTCCCAGCTTTGGTTGAAGCCACCAAGCGTGACTTTCACTCACTGAGCAGAGAGTGGGCCACCCCACTGGGGGTAAGTTGGTCACCCTTCTGCTCCCTGCCTCCCAGGCTCAGAGGGGTCCGTTGTGACCAACTCTTTGGGGAATAAACCAACAACTCTTTAGGTTGTTGACATCTCCCCAGGACACTTAATTTTGTTGATGTTACTGACAAATAGCAACAACTAAATTCAGCATCAGTGTCAAAATGCACATTCTAGCCTGTCCTGTGGTCAAACTCATTTTCTAGGTAACTGCCTATATGACTGATGCTTAGGAAGAAAAAAGAGGTACAGGATTAGGGGAGCTGAGTCTGCATGGGGGGAGGGGGTCTGTCTCCTTTGTTAGCAGGACAGTGGCAGTCACCAGAATTTCAGTGGTGAAAGAAGTCCAGGCTCAGAGCTCATTAGTCCAAGAATATCTCAAAAGCCGCTGGGTGGGTAGGGGTGGGAGGGTGACCGGTCCATTGAGAGGGTGGCCTGTGGAGACTCACTGTGACCCCTAGAAACGCTGCTAGTGCCTGGCAGGGCGTCTGTCAGGAAGGCCCTCTCCTGGGTGGTTCTAACCGAGCAGAAGTGACTTGGCGAGCCTACAGAGGGGTTTCTTCCCTGACATTCCTTTTGCCTGACGTTTTGAGGAGCAAATATTGGACTTCTTTGCTTGTGCACAGTCCGAGTGTGATGTGCAGTGTCTCTGCTTAGCAGCTGCAGGGACCCGCTGCAGGGGTTGGGGGTGCGGGGCGCCCCGTGAGGAACATCTTGGCAGGGGAGGGCAGCGGGTGCCTCTGTGCTCTGTCTCTAGCTCCAGGAAGCAGAAGAAACCTGACGTTAGGGCGCCATGCCTGGAAGTTCCAATGGGACCTGGAGTGAGACCCGGAGACCCCAAGTGCCTCTCCAGAGGCAATTCTGCCTCAGGAGTCCGTGGGCCCATTTTGAGAAGCACTGGGAGGGGGTATCCAGGGGCTTCGCAGCCCCTTCTAGAGAGTCTCTGAAAGCTGGCATGGTTCTAGGCAGTAGAGTCATGACAGTGTGTTCTGGACTCCGTGTGGTTTCTTCTCAAGCTCTTTTATTCACCCCGCTCTGGCGAATAACTCCTGCATTTCATGGTCTCCATCTCCAGGGACTGGGCTTTCCCTTCCCAAACAACCTGGTCTGGCTGTTTCTGTCTGGTTCATCCCTGTGGCCGAATCTGCTGATTTGTGATCATCCACCAAGGACTTGATGCTTCTCAGCAGGACCTGGCTTCCTGGCCTCGTATCTGGCGCCACGGGCCCAGGCAGGTGCTGAGTTCGCGCCAGATAATTGAGTGGTTTTATTACCATTAATACCATGAATCATGTTTTATTACCATTAATAAAGATTAACATTAATGTTCTGACCAAACTCCCGTACTTTCTGGATTGAGCCTGGCCCATAAGTGGATCGCGTTTAGATTTAAGAGTCTCTCCCTTTAGGCCCAGAGGTCAGCTGTGTGTCTGTGCCGGCCAAGAGAGACAGTAAGTATAGTTAGACCTCAGTGTGTCCCCAGAGAAGTCCTGCTAATTTGAATGCAAAATGAGGATAGGTTGGAGAAACATCCATTGCTGTCACTGTTCCAAAAAAGAAAAAAAAACACACACACACACAAAAACAAAACAAAAAGTCTGGCAGCCTAGGCACATTCTTGAACTCCCAGGACTGCTTTTCCGTTCTTCCCCTTCTTCAGGGGATGCGTCGCTCCATTCCTTGTGCCATTTGGGACGGTGCCCTGCACTGCTCAGCGCACCAGTGTGGACAATGGACAATGCCTTCATTCCAGGCTTGGCGGCGAGGGAGAGGGCGCCTGCCAGGCTTGCCGTCCCATCGCCTTGCTATTTCCTGCCCCTGGGCCACACCTGGCAAGAAGGGCTAGATGTTTGCTTGGCACAGTCCCGCGCTGGTCCAGAGCCTTCTTTCTTCACAGACTTCATTCATTCCAAATGTTGATGGCAGCCAAGGTATAAGGATACTCTCAGGCCAGCAGGTATGCGGCGCTTATAGATCTGAAACTGGGTACCCCATGTGCGTCATGTGAACCACATTTCTGCCCTCTGCCCCTGGACTGGTCCCAGGCTGCTGACAGGTGCTCGTGGGACTGTCCCAGAGGCAGCCCCCAAGTGTCCCCTCAGGACCAAGCGTTGTCTGCTAGCTGCTCACACCTGAGCCCCTACGAATGGCCCTCCAAGCAGGGAGCTGCCTGCCCACGACGGCCGACGCCCCCTGGCTGTATGATGTGGGGTGCCACATTCTGGCCTCTTACCTCTACTCTGGACACCTGGGAGATGCACAAAGCCTTGTTGTAACTACGATGCGTTCAGCACCAACCCCCCACCCCCCCAGCCAACACTGCCAGGATGCGCTGCTCTCCACACTATTCCAGCAACTTCCTGCACACACGTCCTGCTCTGAGTACCAAGCAGCCCCACCCAAGACAGGGCTGTCCTTAGTTTGCCTTACCCAGAGTTAAATAGGCCTTCTGCAAGTCTCCGGAGGTTTCTTCTTCAATGGCCTCTTCAATGTCTTTACCCACCAGCTGGAGAGACAAAATGCAGTCATCACCCTGCAGCACTTGGGGTCGTGCCTCAGCAAAAGCCTTTAACTACGTCAGCTTTGTTTGGTCTGCGACTTGGAGGAAATCCCTATGCTTGGAGGGATCTTGCAGGACTGAAGGGGCGGGGGTCTTGCCTCCCGCATTCACGCGTGGGCTCTGATGGCTGAGAAGGAATCTAACGGCTGTGGGCTAGGACCTTTCTCTCAGCCTCAGTTTCTTCATCTGTAAAATCAGGGAGTGGAGGAACAAGGGGTGAGAATACTTCTTTGTGTAACTGTAACACTAATTCTTCATGTCTATATAGAACTTTAGTGTCTATTGTATGTGTGTGTGTGTGTTTAAGTTTCTTTATCTCCAGTGGTCTAGTGACTGTGGGTATCACCCCCTTCTGCATACTTCTTACTTCCCCTGTTCTGGGACTGAAGATCTGAAGATTTGGTTGTCCAAGATTTTTAAAAAAGATTTATTTATGTAGACAAGAACTGGGGTACAAGCCAGATGTGGGAGGGGTGAGAGGATTCACCAGAGACAGAGTGGGGTGTAGAACAGGCAGATCAACTGAAATGTACAGCTGAGGGGAGCAGTGAGCTGGTCAGGAGAGGTCTGGGGTGCTCTATGGGTCAGCCCCTCCCCCCACAACCCCCCTTGCGGATAGAACTCATCCTGAAGTGGCTGTGGAGAGCTGCAACCCATTGTGCCACCAGGGAGGGCCCGGTTGTCCAAATTTTGGGAGAAATAAGTAAAAGCTGTGAAGTTCTCAGTAAGGGCTTGGTCGAAAGCCTCAGGTCGAGTGAGGCTCCTGGGCTGGGAGTGGGGGTCAGCCAACGTCAACATGCGTCTTTTCTCTTACTCTGGGTGACTCCGCATGGGGCTCTCCTCCCCACAGCTCGCGTATGGCTGCAGAGCATTACACACTAGGTTTCCTTCCAAATATTTACAGAAGCTGGAGTTGAGAATAAATTGTGATATGTTGATCAAAGTACTGCTCGGGCCAGTCTCAGGGCAGAGAACAAGAAAGAAGAGTTCTGTGTCGGATTTGGGAAATGCTGTCAAGTATTAGACATACCGAAACTTCTTTCTTAGAAATGATCTTTTCAGGATATCACACTATTGTGAGTCTGTAAAGAAACCCGCGCGGGGGCACTTGCAGACACACCACAGAAGTCAGTGCAGTGTGTTTCGAAAACATTCTTTGCAATGGACGCACGATGGGTGTGTTTGGGCGGTGGGGGGTGGGCAGAATTAGTGGAGCCCCTTGCTAGATCTGCCATGGCGTGCCCAGCCAGCGGCCTGAGTGGGAATGGACCTCACTTTGAAGGGGTTTGGCCTGGGGGGTGTCAGTCCTGCCCACCCCAGAAGCCCCCAGTCTTCAGTGGGTTTGGGGTGGGCTGGTGCTCTGGAGGGGACTGGTGTTTCCTATCCCCTGAACAGGGTTCTTTTTCTGTAGCCGGAGATCACATTTCAGGAGGAAATTGTACCACACAGGTCTGCATTTACTTAGGAAAAAGCCCTCACAATCACTTTCTGTTTCTCTTGTTTATGCTGAGCCAGAACAGGGTTTTTTGACTTTCTGTAGAAGTGCAGTGTCCCCACCAGATAAAAGCAGCTATGGGGAGGGTGGAGGGGGGCTCCTCATCCTGGCCCTGGGCAACAGCGTGCACTTTCCACCCTCTCAGGGTCTCTGGTGCGCCCCTCTGGGGCACCAGTCATACAATTGCAGATGGCACTGCCCCCCTTCCTCCCCGTCCTGGTAGCTCTAGGCATCCAGGGGCTCCCTGGAACACAAAAGGAAAACAATAAACTGGCCAGGCTGTTGCTTCTCCTTTGGGGATGGCCAGTTTTCCACTTCAGATACTGGAACGCTGCATTCTTAGGGGACTCTTTGAACAGACCAGGCTTTCTGATCTCAGTACAAAAGCACATTGTGAGGGTAGATTCCAGACAAGCTGCAAGGACTGCAAGGACCTGTAGCATGGCCTCTAGGGAGACCTTCAGAGAAACAGGGGAGACATTTCTTTAAAATCAATCCCCCCCCACCTGATAGCATGCCCACCTTATACATGCTGGCTTTGGCTATTGGCAGATAGTGTTGAAAAGTCTGGGATGGGCTTAAAAGGGTGGTGGGGCATAGAAATAGTGAGGAGTGTGAGAGGCTGGGGGTGATTACTGTGGAGCCCTCTTTGGGGAACTCCCTTGGATAGTTTAACTACCTAAGCCTCCTCTGTCCCCCTTCCCTGGGACTAGGAACATCTTGCAGCAGGTCTGGGGAAGGGCTGTTGCTTGGGCTGGCATTTCTGAGAGTCAGTCACTAAGGCTTAGAGGACAAATAAAGGGCAAGAACTGAAGATTTTGTAACAAAAATGAAGATTCAACTCTATGCCAGGAAATCCATGCCACACGATACCTCCCCCCGCCCCCCTCTCCTCATGACCTCATGCTAGTCTCTTACTGCTTTAGTCATAGACCATGAGCAACCTCATGGAAGCAGGGCCCAAAGAGAAGCTAAGCTCTACAAATCAATGCTGGAGATTCAGATGAATAGTGTTGCAACAAGGCCTTTGGAGTAGATGAACAAATAGCATTTTAGAGTTTTGCTTTCATGTAAAGAACCTATGGAATACCTTATTATCCATCTGTGCTTGACCCTCTTGGTTCACATAGAGAGATACCTAACAGCCACCAGTGTTTACTGAGCACCTAGTGCATGCCAGGTTCATTTACACAGTCCTTGCTACCTTTAAGAAGCAGGTTACAATGACTAGCCCTATTTTACAGCTGGGGAAACAGAGGCACAGACTTAATAACTTGCTCTAGCTCAGACAGCTAGTAGCCAAGGGCAGTATTCTTAATCTTTAACATGCATCATCGTCATCTGGGAGACGCATGGCAGAGTTCCATCTGCCACAACCCAGAATTTAGGACTGTGACCCCAAGGAGGTGGTGGGTTCGGGGAGGGGACTCATTTTTTGACATGTTCTCAAGTGATACCTATGCCGCTCTTGGGGGATTAGTTTTGAGAACAATCGGTCTAGAGAGTATCCTTCCAGGTACTTCCAGGTAGTAAACACACACACACACACACACACACACATTTCTACAGTGACCACCAACGACAGCCACACCCAGAAACTCTATGCACGGCCCTAGACATGTGGGAAGAGGGGCTAGGTCATGGGAAAAGTCCTTCAACTCAGGGTCTACACAGCTCCAGGCACAGATCAGCTCTGCCTTTGATCATGAATCTGGGCATGATTTGAAAGCAGAGGACCCTACAGGCTTATATAGACTAGTGATAAAATTCCAACGTTTTATTGTCTTTTCATCTGCTGGCAAGACATAGCAAACACTGTTTTGAGTGAGGAGTGGCCAGCTCCAGCCAAGGTAAGAGCTCAGGCTGGGAAATCTTGGAGTTCTCATCTGCTCTCTGCTACCCACTTGCTGTGTGGTCCTGATAAGTTACAGATGGTTCCTTCTTCACACAGACTTTTCGTGTCCAGCAGTGGGTAACGATGGCTGTTCAGCCTACATTCTATTGATGGGATTTTTGTGACGTTGAAATGAGAATAGAGCACAGAATTGCTTTGAATAGTTAAAAGCCCTCTGCAGATATAAACTAGGAGAACAATCTGATATTCCACAAAAGGTTTCTTGCAATTAAAGGCTGATTTTCAGGGAAGGACTTAGCACTAAGTGCCTGAAAATAGTGAACACATCACGTTGGCTTAAAATTGTCATGGGATTAGAAAACAGCAATTACTTAGAGGTAATTGAGATGCATTTTTTCAGAACTGTATCTCTGAGGCATTTCATCTCGATCTTGGGAGTGGTGGACACATTAGTCACCCTGTAAGCTGACTTAACAGTAGTGAACATTTATATGTTTACCACGTGCTAGATACTTGTTCTGGCCTTTTACACTTCTCAATATTTAACTTCTCAAATAACCCCAGGAGTGTGTGATGGCGGCAGTGAGGGCCCCTGTTTTGCAAATGAGGATGGAGATGTGAGGTCATTCACCAGGGGTAGAACCAGAATTTGCAACTGGACCCCTCTGGCCATAGGACTTAGCTCCTAGACTGGGCACTTCTGTTTCTCCAGCAGGGCTCCCCAAACTCAGCACTGCTTGAGGCAGGGAGGCTCCTGTTAGCAGCCGGCTGCCTTGTGCTTGTAGGTCAGTCAGCAGCATCCCTGCCTCACCCAACTAGATGCCAATAGCACTGTGCCTTCCACACACACCCAGAAAGACCACCCCAAATTTACCAGACATTACCTAAGATTCCTGAGGGGGCAAAATTGCCCCTGATTGAGAACCAGTATTGTAAAAGATCCTCCTAATTCTACCTGCCAGGTCTTGGCTTCTTTGGGAAATAACTTAAGACTCAACTGTTTTCCCTGTGAAGCTCGGTCGCTCTAGTACTCAGTTACTTACGATCTTATAGGCTTGGAAGGTGGCTCGTAACTGCTGGTGGCTCCTCTTGGCCAGGACTTCGTTGAAGGCAAGCTCGTCAGTGCCCCAGCGACCTTCTCCTGCCTGGAGGGTCAAAAGCAAAGATTCTGAAAAGGTCTAAACATGAGTGTTGTGTCTAGGCCTCACTTTTGGGAAATCAGAAGACGTGCCCTGTTTAGAAGCCAGCACGATTGACTAAATACTTAAAGTTCTGCAACCACAAGTATATTTTACATATTTATTTATAGCTCTCCTTGTTCCAAAATGGATCTGAGGCGGTGAACCCCGGTGTGTAAGAATAGAAACAATGCTTTGAGGGTCATGAAGATTGTCTATATTGCACATTTTAGAGATCATACTCATTTTCCAAGCAACTCCCATTCACATGAAATAAAGAAACACTTGTCAAGAATAATGCTAATAAATGGAGAAAAAAATGTTTGGAGACTGGCACGTCTACGTACACTTACCTCATACAGATCTTTGGCATCCTGACCAGCTAGATCTTTGTCCACGTCATCTCCTTCATCACGATTAGCCTAGAAAAATTGACACATTGTTGTTAGCTTGAGGTCCTGCTTGGGCACAGAAAACAAAAAGGAAAGTCTTGGAAAATGGAGTAAGGCGGGGTGGTGATCCAAAGGGGTGGCCAGCCAGCAGATCCCGGCTGCAGAGTTGGCATCACTGCTCTTTGCTGCCATCTCTTGGCATAACCGAGAAGCTTCTAAGACAACACTTGCTTTTTCCTTATTTTTTTTTTTTTTTTTTGGTAGAAACCAGGGTCTTACTCAAACCCCAGGAATCTCTAAGCAGGTTGAAAGCAACCTCAGGTTACATAGGTCCCCTATGGTGAGTCCTTTGGAAAGTGAATCACTTAAATTCCAAAAGATTAAACTTCCCTTCTTAGAGCCCCAGTGCTGAAAACCCTCAGCGTTGAGTAAGGAAGGTTCTGGCTGCATACACACTGTTTTAGGCAGAATTCTAAGCTGACCCCCAATGATAAACACTCATAGATTCCCTTTCCCTGTTAATTCAATGAGCTATCATCCTGTAATTATGTTCTGCATAGGTAGGTAAGGCATAGAATCAGCTGAACACCTAAAAAGCGCTGTTATCTGGGGTAGATCTGATCTAACCAGGTGAGCTTTTGAAAGGGCAGAGGTAGAAGAAGTCAGAGAAAGATAAACTCTTGCTGGTCTGGTTCCTGCTTTGGTCTGTGCAGCACATGTCAGAGAATAGCTAGTGGCCCTAAGGGCTGATACTGGTCTCCCGTTGACAGAGAGCAAGTAATAGGACATCAGTCCTACAGCCATTAGAATCTGAAATCTGTCAATAACCAGCAAGTCAGAAGAGCACTCCAAACCTCAGATGAGATCATAGCCCTGGCAGTCCCTTGATATCAGCCTGTGAGAACCTAGCACAAGATTCAGCTAATCTGTACCCAGACCCTTGACCCATAGAAACTGTGGGATTGTACATCTCTGTTTTCTTTTGCACTACTAAGTGGCAAGAGGAAAGTATATGGCCTTCCTGCTACTCTTGAAATTACTTTGTGCGTCCTCTGCTGTCAGTCCACCCACACTGAGAGAAATACAATGGAGGAAATGAACAAAACTCTGAAGGATCGGCATGCCATTTAGAGTACAGATATATTCAGGTGGGAGGCTGTGCTGAAAGTCCCATGTCAGAGCTCCCTGCAGTGACTCTTATAGACCTAATCTCAGTGTGAATCCTGGAAGGGAGGGAATAAATTGTATTGTGAAAAGGGTCCTTTGGGAGTAAGAAAGTCTGATTCTTACTCCTGGGCTATATCTTTCTGGCTGGGTAAATCTGTGCAGGTTACCCAGCCTCTCTGGGCCCGAGCTTCCTCACTGAGCAAAGGGAGGTGGTGCTTAATGAGATAATCCATTACCCATTATAACTGCAAATGATTAAGCAGGTTGTTATTATGGGGAAAATGCTGATTTAAAATTTCCTGGTAGCTGGACTAATGGAGCACATGTCGCTCACCCCTCAATAAGACTCTTCATGATTAAAAAAATAATAATAAGGTTGATCTAAGTTGCCTTTTGCACCACTGGCTTGACAGTACTAAGGATAATTTCCTAAGTTAACGGAGACAACTTTATCCTCTTACCTGTAGCATGAACACCAGAATTTTTTGCAGGGTCCCACTAGTATCATCTTTGACATCTGATTCAAGGCTCCTGTCAAATACTTTTAAGCAAAAGGGAGAGGGTAAAGCAGACAATTTAGTTTTCCCAAGGTATTCTGAAAGAAACATTCTTTACCCAAAGTCAGAACAAAAGGTCACTTACACCTCTGGTAGGCATCTCTAATGGCGATGATTTCCTAGGAAGGGTAATAAAAAAAAAAAAAA